AGAGGGAGAGGGAGAGGGAGAGCGCGTGCCCCGAGGATGCCGCTCCCTTCCATGGGCATCACCATGACATACACCATGGCAGATGGCCAAACCGTCCAGGTCGGTTGGGATCTTTTCGGATTCCTGAAAGGAGGCTGCATTCAATGCACCGTCAGAGATGCAGTCCTTCCACGAAAGCGCGCAGGTGTTTAGCGATGGCTCCATACAGATGCTGCGTCCGGTTGGCAGCTCAGCAACCTCAGCCAAGCCAGCTAGGAGACTAGGAAAACTCAATCTAAAGTGAAGCGGAGCTTGGCGGAGGTCGAGGGGCGGCCAGTCTCTTCTCAGGCGTGTGCTCGTGATAAAGCCCCGTGAAGCACCGGGTGCTGTCCATGCTTTCCCAGAGATATATGGCACTTGACTGAGTATACTTGCTGAAAGCATGCTGAAAGCTGGTGAGGACTCCTTTGACTGCTATGGGTTTACCCATAATCCCCATAGTAGTTCCTTTTTGTGGCTTATATTCAGAATTCTCTAAGGGAATCCCCTTAAAAGGAACTACTATGGGGCCTATGGGTTGGGGATGCCTGGGCAGGAGATGACCGGCCTCAGCTCGTATTCGCCTGGCTGCGCAGCGGACATGGAGGCCAGGAGTTCTCCTCAGAGTCCCCCTTCAGGGTTTAGGATTTGGGGTTTGGGGTGTATACGGGTTTAGGGCCGTTTAGGGTTTAGGATTTATAGGATTTGGTTCACCAGAACAGCGCAAGTTCGTTGAGCTTGGAAAGGGTGTGTTGCTCATGCCACTTGAGGATGAATGCATGTTCCGCATGTTAGAACGGTTTGAGTGGTCGTCATAGTCTTTTCGCGAATCTTGAGACTAAAGTTAGTGAGTAAAGAGTGTCGCACGCAGGTTCTCCGGACGATTACCCCGCGAGGAGCTCTTATCCGGAAGCTGGCATCAGGGCGCACGGAGGCGCCAGCTGTCAAACTCTTCGAAAGCATCAATATAGACTTGAAGTAGCCCCTCAGAAACATCGCACATACGTTGCAGAAGCAGCGCGGCTAGTGCGCGGCTTCTCGGGTATGTTTGGGTCGATACAAATGGACATTCTGGAGGCGTGTTTTCGTCCAGTGTTCTGCCGCAGCCCTTTGCCATGCTAGATCGGTGACAATTTGGATTCAGAAAACAGAGAGTAAATTTGCGCGGCTTAATGAGTCGATGAGGTCCTGCCGTCGACAAAATACTGAGCAGGTATTCGGTCATGTTCGGCCCACCTGACGAAAGCACTGCAACGCTGTGGCTGGATGTTGAAAGAATCGGACCAGGTGGCAACAGAAAGCTGTAAGTATGTAATTCTTCGGAGGTCGTATTCCTTGTTTTTGCTTCTTGTCCAACTCACCAAGAAAACTCAATCCTACATATCCTAGCTCTTCAGCAACGCCAAGCCGAAAACCCGCAACATGCAGTACCCACCAAGGCCATATAAACCCTATCGCGAGCATTGAACCGACATCTAAAACCAATCCTCCAATGCTGCTACAGAAACTGCCTTATTCCTATGCCCGTCGGGTTCTGGGGGTTCCTGGGGACTCCGATGACAAGGCATCATGGCAGCTATCATCTTGATCCTCTCGTCATAATGATGGTGCTGATGATGATGATGATGATGGTGACGGCATCCAGCACAGGTCTACTATGCTGACGGAACAACCTCCTTCCGCAACCCGACGCGAGAAGAACTCGAGCGCCAGCTGCAGGCGTCAAGTGCACAGAGCGCGATGTCTCGGCTTGCCCTTTTCCGCTTAGTGTTTGCATGGACCGTGATGGCTCTCGGCACCTGTGAGGCCTACCAAAGCAAGCCCAGTTCAGCAAAAGAGTATGCAGCTTGCGTGGACTTGCTGGAGGCTTACACTACTCAGTGGAAAATTGTTAATGTCAGCCCGGAAATCCACAGTGTAGATGCCTAGTTGTCCTTTCCGGCCCCTACAGTTGATCAGGTAAAACGTGCCTCTTGCCTGTCTGCTTCCAAGGTTGACCCGCATGCTCCAGGCTGGGTAGTGCGCACGCATGTGTGTGTGTGTGCGTATATTTATTTATTTATTAGTATTGTTATTAATATATATATATATACACACACACCTATGTATGTATGTATGTAGGTAGGCAGGTAGGTGGGTAGGTAGGTAGGTAGGTGGGTAGGTAGGTAGGTAGGTAGGTAGGTAGGTAGGTAGGTAGGTAGGTATGTATGTGTGTGTACGTAGGTAAATATGTATGTATGCATGCATGCATGCATGCATGCATGCATGCATGCATGTATGTATGTATGTAAGTATGTATGTATGTATGTATGTATGTATGTATTTATGTGTGTGTGTGTACGTAGGTATGCATGTATGTTTGTATGAATGTGCATAAGTTTTTACAAGCATGTGTGTATACATATATATATATATATATGTGTATATATATATATATATGCATGTGTGCATGTGTGTATAATATATATATATATATATATATGTGTGTGTGTGTGTGTGCATGGATGCGCATATGTAGATGCAGATGTGGTCGTGTTTACATATCTGGCTGTCTGTCCGTCTGTCTGTCTCTTTGTTTGTATAGATGTCTGTCGGTATTCATTCTGTGTGAAGGTGTTTATGTAAGTGCGTGTATGTGTGTGGGTATGTATGTATGTATGTATGTACGTATGTATGCATACGTACATACAAACATCCATCCATGCATGCATATATATATATATAGATATGTATAGATATGTATGTATATATATATATATGCATGCATACAGTTAATATATCGTGCACTATCTATGTACACATTGCATACTGTAATTGAGTTTTGCTGCGCCAACTGCGCTGGCTCCTGGCTGGACTGTTTGAAGTTCATGATGTCTGGGGCAGTTACCATACGAATCGAGCTCCAGGTCTACTGCGACACTCCTGACATGCCGTGTGCTCAGCACAAGGTCCAGAGTTTGCAGTTGCCAGCGAGCATGCTTTCAGCACTTATGATATTGGCAAGGATATTCTGTACAGCAATGCTGATAGAGATGTCGATACTGACACTGGCACTTGGCACTTCAAAGAGGCGAGTGAGCTCTTGAGTCTGCTTGAACCTGCCCACATCCCCAACTCGTGCTGAATTCTTGCATGCACAAGCCTACGGCAGCACTGTAACATTAGTGTGCAAGCATAAGACCGGACCCTGGACAAGATCTTGCCTACAAGCTCCGAGGGACCAGTCCCATGTCCTTAGCCAGGTTTAGGGGTCTGGGGTCTTAGGGGTTCATGGTTTAGGGCTCAGGGCTTCTTGCAACCACAGACCAGTGACCACAAAGATCGAAGCCAGCCCGAAACCCGAAACTCAGCTGGCCCCAAAGGAGCAGCGCTGCACTGGCAGCTGGTTTGCCAGGTCACTGGGTCCTGGCCTCGGTCCTTCATTGCTTCCTTCGGTGCTTTCAAGCTGTGGCTTTGTAGTGGAGTCCTTTCGAAACGGTTTGGAGTACTCGTAGAAGCTTCTGAGCTTGAATGATGCGAGCGAAAGCTGCCGACATCAGAGGGTGGCAGAGATTGTGTGAAACTTGGCACGCAGATCACCCTGCATGCGGACGGCCGTGTCTTCGGCCGCTTTGCCGACGAGCCAGTGGAGGCCCATGTAGCCGCTAGCTAGCACAGACCATGCATGGACACACACCTACCTGTCTGCCTGTCTGTTAGTCTATGCATATAGATTTGCTAGAACCTATACATCTGCAGTGTAATGTCGTGTAGTGCACTGCAATGTAATGGAAGGACGTAATACGATATAGTACAATGTCATATGATTTAATGTCATAGTAGTGTAAATCCTCCGAGCTGCTAGGTGCCGCGTAAGCGTTGGATTGCGCAGGTAGCAGACACCCCAGCTCCTGAGGGGGATGAGCCGCCACGCTCCAAGCAAGTCAGACAGGGTCATTGAGTTTGGGGTTTAGCCTCAGCACTACTCACAGTGATGAGTAATGTCGGGATCCTACCATTGGTACATGAGGCCAAAGAAGGATGACGACATGTGCAGGGAAGCAACAGTGTCACTCAGATGCTTACAGCAGCGCGCGCACTGACCGTTGCGGCCGCAACTCATAGTCACACTGTCCCATACCCATACTCGAGTCCTGGCATTGGCGTAGTGTTACTTGCAAGGGTCTGCTATGCTATACAGGAGCTTGTGCATAGCCGCCGTATTCCTTCTCGTGCACTTTGTCAGAATGTCCTATACCTGCTCTCGAAGGCCAGCAGAAGAACCACCTCCGAGCATGAAGGACAGGGCTTGCCAGTATAGAAGACTTTCTAGCACCATTACGAACACTGCGATCTGGACGACATATAACCTTGACGACGACACCGACTTTAACTGTCTAGCCTTCTCACAACTTCGACAGGATCTCCTGCACGCATACCCCCTGGAGTCGGGCGGCTTCGAATATGAGCTCGATCCGGTTGCCACAGCTCTGCAGGCACACGCTCTTGCACCGCCAGATTGGGTCGTCCAGAGATGCTCGCGTCACAGGTTGTGACATGCTCCGGACAGTTCTTGTCGAAGTTACCGTCCGAGCACTGCCCTCCCAAGACGTTTGCATCGCAGCCTTGGTCTTCCTG